CAGTCTAGTGTGATCTCACAATTTGAAGAAAGGAAAAAATTCTTGCAATTTATTGTATGTTCAAATAGTTCAAAACATAACCTAAACTTCTATTAAAGTTCGTTTATTTTCATTTATTATCTTTATGAGAAATGAGAGGTGACTAAACTAGAATTCATGTATCAAATATGCTATATGATAATTTAAAAAAAAACGTCTAATTGAAACTTGTCTTAAATTTCTACTGATTAGGGCTAAAAAAAATTATATCTAATGTGAATTTATAGATTGTTTTAAGTTTCCATGGTTAGAATAAATAAAAGAGAGAAGTTTAAGTTATACCGTATTTTGTCACCACATTTATGTTAGTGAATAAGATTGGTATTAAAATGGTTAATGCATTTATTTACTTGATACGTTTCTGCATCGATCTATTTGCTAGACGATTTATAATATATATATTTGAGAGAGAGGAACAGGTAAGTCAATGAGCCGATCACTTTTCATTGAATTTGTTAGCAAACAGTACACTTGTAAATGTATACACCTACTCTTATGCAACAATGTACAATGACCGTACTCATATCATGATTTCAACTCTCATATGAAAACATATTTCAGTCTGATGCTATTAAGATAACAGGAACATGGGTGGTAGTTCTGTCCTGCAACAATTAATCGAAGCTACACTCTCCATCAATACATAATTCGATCTTAATGTAGTTTACAGAATTCGTTCAGTTCTAGCAGCATTTCTTCGCATGCAATTCATTAAAATAGAGGAAGCTATTCTCATTTTCGAAATGAAATCTTAACTGAACAAAAGAAGCATATCTTGTCATTGACTATACCATGTCCTAAACTATTATTATTATTATTATTATTATTATTATTGTTATTATTGCTGTTCTGTAGTATTAGTAGCAGTAGCAGTCGCAGTAGTATTAGTATTATTACTAATAATACTATTTTACTTTTATTTCATCGCATTGATTTTGCATTTGAAAATATCTGTCTCTCTCCACGTATCTCTCACATTCACATCATTTTACTGGTGTATGTTTTTCATATTATTGCATTTCATTGAACCCTTCTGATACCTGTAATTCATGTGACGAAAATAGTTTAATTATTTTACTGCAATCAAATTATGTTCCAATGTAAGTTTAATAATTTTTACACCTTCTTATTTGCACGAATACAACATGTTATTTTAAGTATTTACTTTATAGAATCTTTTATTACAATCTTTCCGTGACCACATTATAACAGTACATTATTATTATGTTCTCACAGAATTAATACCTGAAATTTCTTATGTATATATGTATACATATGTATACAATCGTACACACTGATAATAAATTATTTGATAAGCAATCCATTTACTGAAGTCCTTATTCCTGTCATATTTTCTCAGATCTTAATTGTTGTTGATTTATAAAGCGAATGATGAATTTGTCAAACTTCTTCACAAAATCTTGTCACGTTAATTCTTTTCTAGAATATGGTATTATTTGTTATCTTATAATTTATATATTTTTATGACAGTTTGTAAATTCTTTGAATGTTTATTTAGTGTTTAATTAATAATGAATTAAAGGATCTTTATATGTTCAGCTGATATATACAATTATTTTAAGATATATTATAGAAATGTTCATTATTTTAAGTAAATTGTCAAATTTTTCATAATCTTATATATGTAGTCTAATAGTTGAGTTCATGAGTCAATTAAAAATAGACCATCATGGATAACATTGAAAGTTGAAAGTGGTATTTCTAAATAATTTTATAGACTAAAAAGTTGAAATAGTCTACTACCCGTTAATGATTCGTATTATCAATAACTAATAAATAATAATATCATGTAAGTCATATTCATAAAAATATTTGCAATTTTCAAACATTTATACTCATAGGTATCATTACCAACGTTTGACCTGATAATTTCGAATAAACTGAGCATTGGTTAGATTGTTATTAGTAAATTAATATATTTGTAATATCTCAATGAGTAGAAGAAAATAGATTTTCTAACGTTTTGTGACTCAGTGTAAGCCACTTCTTCAGAGAATATTACAAATATTTAATTAGTTGAGATCATGAGTCAATTAAAACTAAACCACCATGGAAAACCTGAATGCACTGGATGGCCATTTTGTTATAGTATGGGACTCCTCAGCAGTGCACATCCACGATCCCACCTCGCGAGATTTCTGACACAGGGTCTATCGTCTCGAGCGTGAATGCTTAACCTCTAGACTATTGGGCTGGCATCCAACGGTGTGAATGTCTAACTTCAACTATTCCACGAAATCGAGCGAAACATCCACCATTGTCTTCAGTGATTTACTACCCCACAACAGACCCAGCTGAACTCAATTGGTCACTGCTTTCCACAATAGGACGAAACAGCCATCCAATGCTTCCAGCTTTTCCATAGTGGTCTAAGTTCAATGGATTCATAATCTCAACTATTAAAAATACTATAATATCCACAAAACAACCCTTCTGATGATACAAATATAGTAATTTGTTTATATTTATACTTATATTCAGAAACTCTTCAATATTTGAAATGATTTAAAAAATCCCCGGATGTCAGTCTTACAGGCAATAAAATTAAAATCTACTTTAAGGTGTCAAGATGATTAGTTACCTCTTTGTAGTACTTCAACAAAAAATATTTTTTCATTATTTGGAACTTAATTTAACTATACATCTGATTAATACATAATTTTTCAAAGTAATAACTAAGCACTAAGAATATGAAGAATTTAAAAAACAAAACGTCAATTAGAAAAACAAACGATTGGTATTTAGTATGATTATTTATTCAAATAACCATTCGGTATATTGAATGTTTAATAATTTTTCAAAGATTTTACGGTATAAAAGTTGACGATTTTCTTCAATAGAATTTTTAATTCACGCCTTAATTTGCTTAGTGATAGAAAAAATTGAGCGAAACTAAATGTTCTTTTTTCTTTTTTTTGATTCAATTTTAATCATAAGACTAATAGGCAATTAAACTAGTTGATCATTATAATCAAAATAAATACAGAGAAAATCAAAATGGTTCCCTATTTACTAATTTAGGATTGTCATTTTCTTAATCATTCTTCTTATTAATTTTTTTTCTTTTCCATTTACTGTATAAAGCATGAAGAATAAACTCGGATATTTTTGATGGAGTTTTGTTCTCTAAGCTGTATGGTTTAGTTTTGGAGCTTTCATCGTTCTTCTGAACGATATCATCAGCACAAACTTCAAATAGAATGGAAGTGTTTGAATTTCTTCACATGTGGTTCAAAGCTTGTCCTGGAGACCTCGATGTTGATTGTTTCTTGTTGACCTTAAACGTGTCTTTTACTTCTTTGTTTTGGTTATACCTCCACCTCTCAAATTCGAATGTTTAAGGAGAAGAACAAATATGTGACCAGTATGTGAATTTAGAAGCTTGTCAGAACTAAACTCAATATGGTCACCTTACAAATTATTGGTAATTAGATTTAAATGAGATATTAATAAAATACTCTTAATCCACAGTTTTGATGTTTGAATTACATTGTTTTCCAGTTTGCTATTTTGTTTGGTGAAATTTGTCAGAGAAACTTTAGAAGTTCATGTTTATCTACAAGAGATTAGCTTTTGTTGACAAGTCAAATACATTTATATTAAAAGGTTAGTTCCTAATACTGTTTATATTCAAATATACAATTAGAAATTGAAAACTTAGTATGTTATGAAACTCGGTCTACCGGATAACCCGACTGACTGTTTCATTTATGCAGAAAACTCAACCGTACAAAAATATACAGAATTATTTCCCTAAAATAAATACTACAGAATAAGTAACTTAATAAAACAGTTTTAAATAACCTTTAATAAAATAAATAGCGATAGGTTAGAAGATGTCCATTTCCTACCATTTTGTAAATCCCGAATAGTATATCTTTTCACATGATTTGCTACTTTTCTTTAAGGTAACTATCATTTTCATGAAATAACTTGAACAAGCTATCTAAGTATTGTTCAAACTGTGAATATTATCGTGTTACGTAACTGAATTCAAACTTTTAATTAGTTTCGTAATGGACTCAAGACGTTCTAATGAGAAATGATGATTAGTAGAGTCCAGCCATGTCAGAGACTATTCACTTATCCACCTCTGGATGATAGGTCTATTATTTCATTAGGATTGAGGAAATTCAGAAATACAGATCATTGGGTTCTGACTCAGTCATCTAAATACGTATCCGCTGATTTATATAATAGTGTTGGATTTGATCCTATGTAAAATCATGAATGGATATCAATTAGTGAATTACGTGCTGAGATGAAATAATTATATGTTGTTACCTAGATTTCAGTATGCCCTTAATAAGTGTCATTTTGTGGCGAAAAATTGTCTTCACAGTTGTCTTTGATGAAATTATGGTATTAAGTTAGTTTTCCATATAGACAGTTTGTCTGTTAGTTATAAAAATTTAAGTTAACCGTAGATTTATTCGTCAAAAAAGCCGTGAATGTTTTACTTCTGTTCACTTTAAAGACTAATCACTCACAACAAATAACTAATATTATATCCTAAACGCTTTTGGCGTTTTTTTGTCGAGTTGGTTTTTTACAGGATGGGGTCGCTAACTCCGTACCCAACCCTCCTCCTTTTTCTGGGCTTAGGATCAACATTAACCTCAGAGGGGCTACACGCTCAATGCCAAAGGAGAAGAGGAAAACCAAAGAACACATTACGCCGAGAAATGGAGACAGATATGAGAAGAATGGACAACAATTAGATAGAACTAAAAAGAAAAGCCCAGGACAGAATGGGTTGAAGAATGCTGGTCGGCAGCTTTTGCTCCACTGGGAGTAACAGGCATAAGTAAGTAATATCCTAAACGTCTTTAACCTTATCAATATATTAATAGATTAACCGAATACTGATACTGAGTTATTTCCCTACTAAGTTGCATAAAACAACATGACCAATATATTCAACACTTAAAATCCATACGTTTGCAATGATGCTTCATTTTTCTTTCAAAAAATCTTAAATTTTATTTATTGCAAAACTGAAAAATAATAATAATTGAACCCATTTACTGATGAATGTTTTTTTTGTTATTACAGAGAAGGGTATGTTTAAATTAACGAAAACAAATTAATGGCTATGAAATGTTTAACAAATTCAAAATTATTTAAAAATCCCTCATTTCTCTTAAAGTTTTAAAATGTTCATCTACATACTGTTATAATATTGTTTTATGAATCCATAGCCAGTTGTATTTTTATCAATATAGTTATTATTGAGATGGTGTTCTCCATGCTAAACAGACATAATTATTATACTTGAATTGTATTGATAAAAATGGTTCATGGGAAAAATTCATCCAATATGAACCAGTTAATATAACCACTTGCCATACACGACCATAAGTATTATCTAATAATGTTTTCATTTTATTTGCCACCTCTTTTATATCATTATTTGTTCGACTACTATTATCAATATATTCTTTAAATTGATAACATATATCATATTGTTTTGTTTTTGACATAGTTGCTGCAATAATTTCAACATTTGGTGGAAGTTTAGAAACCTTGCCATCTTTTTCTTTTTTTAATTCTTCTTTTTCACGTCGACTAAAGTAGAAAAAAAGTAAACAGTAGATTTCTTTTTTGAATAATCACTAACAAAGTTAGTATACTAAATCTATTGATCTAATTATAATTTACCATTTTGGCGAATTAATTCAAATCTTTGTGAAATTTTATCGGTAAAGTTCAGTGGAAACTTTTCTGGTTGTAACAATAGATGACATGGATTGTTGTTAATCAGTTTAGATTATGGGTTTCAAATGGTTCGTTTTCATTATGAACTTATATAGAGGAAGAGCAATATTCTCAGAAAATCGTTGTTCTGGTTGTATTAACAGGACAGGAATTCTCAAAGTATTTAGCAAAACAATGTGACGTGAACGATTGATTATTTCGTAACGTAAAGTAACCTGTAGATGAAAATTCATCGGTATGGCATATTTGCAAATTTATTCACAAGAAGTAAGATTATGCTCAGAACACAACAGGTTGATTATTCATATGAGATTATCGACCCCAAGTTTACACTATTCAACGTCAGAAGTTGTTAGCTGTTGACACTTACAAAAAGTTCCACGATACCTTTATGACAATCCTTCTTTTGAACTCATTCAACCCCAAAGACGCGCTAGTCCGAGATATCTTCGTAATGATCAATCTCTTAAACACTGCTGACTCACTTCTGATCAGACAGAGTAGAATCAAGAGTTGAATAAGCAGATTTAATAGATAAGATATTGTATAAAATGTGAAAGAAAATCGTTGGATGAACGGAATAGAGTATAATTCAAAACATACAGCAAGTTAAAAACTGTTCGGCAGACAGAGAACCAAATTTACGTATATTTTTTCGAAAATAATGCTTAAGGTTCGAATGTGCACGAAATGTGGCTACTTTAACCTTTAAATTCTAATGCGACTAAAGTTATTTGTTCCTTAGTTCATCTTTATAAAGTAATAACTTGCTATTAAATAAATACGTACAATGATATCAGTAGACACTGCCTATATTTTAGTATTTTATTTTCAAACTTTTAAGATAAAATTTGTTTGTATTGGTTGTCTGGATCTTCCCATTGATGTTTAGGATCGGAATCCATCAGTCTCTTTTGGGATATATGCATCCTGCGCGGATTGCCTTGATATTGCCAGCAGATCACAGGAATTTGAGGAGCAGATGGATTGTGGTCAGCAATGAAATTCAGAATACGCATTTTATGTTATATAGGACTCGTCATCTGGATATACCTGCATTGCAAAGTCAATCTTTACTCCAGGACTCCAACCTAGTAACGTTCGTTTCCGTTGCTGACCACCATCTATTTACGCTTAGAATGTTTATGACTTATTTGCAATATTGAGGTGATTTGGACAGGATGCATATAAATCAAAAAGTGACTGATCAATTACATTCCTAAACGTCAGTGAAAAGATTCAAATAACCAATACAAATGAATTGAACTTTACCTAATTACACAAGCTAGTGGATATTTTGACTAATTAGTTAACGAAATCAAAACATGACTATCAGTTATGATTATTGGGAAGCCGTCACCAGTGGAGTACAACCAGGTCTGTTGTGAGATATCAGCTCACTGAAGACAATGGTATATGGTGGCCCAACTTCGTGGATTGGTTGAAGTTAGACATTAACACCGTTAGATGCCGGCTCAGTGGTCTAATGGTTAAGTGCTCGCGCGTGAAGCCAGTAGGTCCTGGGTTCGAGCCCCACGTGGTGCGGGATCGTGAATGCGCACTGCTGAGGAGTCCCATACTAGGACGAAACGGCCGTCTAATGCTTCCAGGTTTTCAATGGTGGTCTAGCTTCGACTGACTCATGATTTAAATCTGTGGACATATAATAATATCATAAATATTTATTCAGAAAGTAAAACATCCTTTCCATCTTCAATTATCATTGTTCAATAATTATTATATCAGAAATTTATTTAAATTACTATATTTTATCACTGCTGTTGATTCGAATTTGTTTTTTTTACGAGGTAATTTAATAAGTTTAATGCTTACATTTCTGATACTTTTAAACCGAATCCACGGCAGAACTCTTCTATACTGATTTTATTATCTTTATCAGTATCAAATCTTGCTATCCATGGCTAAGAAAAAGAAAAAGAAAAAAAGGTAAATGAATAAAAGTGAAAATAAAAAATAAACATACTCCTAATTAGATATCATAGATAAAGAAGAATATTATAAATAGTTTAATAGTCATTTATATTTGTCACCAAAAGTCTAATTTAATTTGTTCGACAAAAAATGGTATCTATCTGGGTTATTCTATAATATACATTTATTTTTTTAATTTTCTATTCTGATGGTTTGTAGTAAATCTAATAGAGTATGTACTACTGATGAATATTAAAGTACATTTTACTGTAAATGATGGTATTCCACTAACGAAGTCATACTATATTAATTGGAACGAAGTTGTATCTGTAATCTTTGGAGAACTGATGATTTCTTCAATATTGTAGAAATGTAGTAGTGGTTGTGTCAAGTAACGTGAATTATTAGATTTAGAGATTTGGTTTACATCATCATTTAAGAGCTTAACATCACAAAGATTTGTGATCACAGTAGAATATGACTATCACTAAAAACTAAACAAAAATTTCATTGATAATAAATCAGTATGTAGTTCCCAACCCGATATTTCTTTTAATATATCTAATCTAGACTAATGAACATCATTGTTGATATGAAATTCACAAAAAAATGTAAATAAAATTCAAATTAGAGACATTGTTAATTAAATTCATGAACATTAACTGTAATAAATGACGTTTTCTACCCAACAAAATAAATGGGTTGAATACACATTTTGATTCCAGGTCATTAATTGCCTTAACAGATTCTTTAAAACAGTCATCTTCAACTGTTATTAAAATCGAATGAAATTATAATTGCCTTATTGTTCATAATGAAAAATTACTAAAAATATGAGTATTGTTATTGCATTAATAAATACCATTATACAGTGTAATTTGCATGAAATTACAATTAGTTTTTGATTTATTTTTAATGGAAATCTATAGAGCTTCAGTTATATATATTGGTGAATAATATTATTCTCTAATTTGCATTTAACACCTTATTCATGTTTGACTTATAGAAATTGTTTATCGATCGATCGATTCTTACTTTTTCTTGTTTTCACTAGGTAATCAATAATATCGTAAACGATATTTATGACAATTTCCTCATGAACACTATATTTCTATAATAATAATAATACAAAAATAATCCATTGATTGAGGTCATCAACCGATTGATGTTAGGCCACCATCGAAAACCTGGAAGCACTGGACGGCCGTGATTAGTTGAAGTTAGACATTAACACCGTTGGATGCCGACTCGGTGGTCTAGATATTAAGTGTTCGCGCGCAAGGCTATTGACTTTCGAAGTAATGCTCTATTTATTTGAGACTATTAAGTCGAATTTTGATATAAATACCTACTAAGTCATTGATTTATTACCAGAAAATGAATAATTTTAAAAGATTTACCCTAATTGTATTACTTTCTAGTTAGAGAACGATTGAATCGTGAGTGAATGAAAGTGAACCAAATACATGATGATTTCAAATGGAAACTATTTTAATCTATAATGCGAATCTACGAAAATTATTTTTTTCTAAGATACTTAAGTCAAGTAGAATATAGACAGGGATGAATACTTCTAGTATTTATGGAGGCAATAATAATGATATTTATGGTATTGTGTACTTTCAGCTGGTTGATGATTGATTTTCAATGATTTTATTAACTGCCCAGACAACAAAATCAATGACAACATTGAAAAGAGTTGAACTATTGCAATCTATATACTGTTAGCTAAAAGCTTGTCATGTTGTTACGAGGATGTGATTGCATGTTAAGATTTGAGAACGTTTATTTAGGTTATGTTTTCCTCTGACATGATCAATAATCATACCACATTTCCTTGTCAGCTTCTGATTGTTTCCACATTTCCTACAAGCAATTACTGAGCCTAGTAATTTACATTATGGACATATCATAGTTAAAAAAACCAATGAAAATCAAAAAGTATTGGACGGCTATTTACCCCAGTATAGGGCTCGTACACATTACTCACCCACGATCCCGCCACAGGAGATCGCAACCAGTGCCTTCAAGCCTTGGGGAGAGTGCCCAACTTTAAGTTAACTAAGTCGCCATACATCTCTAACATCAAAATAATTTGTAGTATAGCTCAACTGCTTTCTAACGCCATTGATATGTAAACTTTACCGGTCAAGGCTTTTCGTCGGAATTTCAGAAATGACCCCACAAAATTAATTACTGATGAACATACGTTTATTAGTAGTAATGGTTATTATTATTCAGCTAGCTGTTCACTTTATCCTATACTTTTTATGAGTGATTTTGATTTCGGAAAAGATAATGAACGTTTCACAATTTAACCATTTAACTCAAAGAATATAACATTGATAAAATACTCATATTGAACTACAAAGCTATTTTGTTATTTCAACAACGAATAACATTAAGATATAAAGCAAAATAAAATCTTAAGAAACATGTGAAAGAGAATACTTACATCGATCAATTTCATATCCAAACGATTTTTTTGACAATATTTAATTAATTCTTGTTTATCAATCATTTCATTGTTATCTGCATCCATTTCTAAAAATGCTCTAATAAACTCTTCCATTGAACTCAATCTCGTCTCGGTTGACATAATTAATTTTTATGATGAGAAAAATAAATGACAACTATTCTCTTTGTTTATTCTTCTTTGTAATTTAAATTGGCTTACTTTTCTTGAACGACCTCGACAACGAAAGCGAGTTAATATAATTTACTAAAATGAAAACAATTCTTAAATCGACTAGTTAAATTAATCGAATCATTTATATGCATATATTTATATATATCTAAGTGTAAATTAATTAATTTACACATACAATATCTGATTAGATAAGAATTTCGTCGATATGTAATCGTCTACACTTTTATCATTTAAAATAAGCAATTGTATTTGTGTTAAGTTTGTTAGCTTATACCCATGATACATACAACAAAAGTTGACGAGTAAGTAATCAAGGCAGATAGGTTGGTAAATTAAATTATTACATGTAATTGATTAGATATAAAAAAATGTTAGTACATATGTATATAATTCAAATTATTCTCAATATATAACTACGCTTCTAAAGATAATCACAATATTTTATCAATAAAATGTATCTAAAAGTATCTTTTCTTAACAACAATATTTTGGTGGAAACGTGATATACATAAGAATTAATAAGTAACAATCAGGTTATGTACCACCATACATGTCGTTCAAAGTCTAATTTGTTTTTTTTTGTTGTTTTTTTTTGTAAATTCAGATACAAATAAATTCTTAAATAATCAATAATTGAGAAAATTTGCTTACATTGCACCTTTAAATTTGTTAAAATAAAAACAGAACTATTAATGAAACGATTCATTGTTGATTTATTAGATACTATAAACAACTTGCGAATTATTTAGTTAACATGGTATAATAAAATTGTTGAAAAGTATTTGGCAATTTAGGTTTTTAAAAAAATTCTAGTTTTTTTCTTCTTCGGTAATATGATCATGATTGATTAGTAAAAGTGTATTCAATTAATTATTGTAATAAATAATTCTCTTTTTTTTTAAAATTACATGGATTTGAGGCTTAATTCTCTAATAAAAATAACAATGATAGTCCCATAAATTCATAATATGTTTGAGTGAATAAATACAGTGTAACTTCTAGTAGATAATTATCGTTTATCACAAACCAGATCCCAGCGGAGGAAGAAATCAGGAAGAAGCGCTGGAAGTGGATAGGACACACGTTGAGGAAATAATCTAACTACGTCACAAGGCAAGCCCTCACATGAAATCCTCAAGACCAAAGGAAAGGAGGAAGACCAAATAACACATTACGCCGAGAAATGGAGACAGACGTGAGGAGAATAAACAGCAATTGGATAAAACTAGAAAGGAATACTCAGAACAGAGTAGGTTGTAGAATGTTGGTCAGCGGCCTATGCTTTATTGGTAGTAACAGGCGTAAGTAAGTAAGTGAGTAAGTAATCATTTTAATAATTTCAAGTCGTTACATTCGTGTAGTCAAGTATTTTTAGATGTTTCAGTTTTACCATGTTCAATACTGTAAAAGACTAAGTCATTTGCAATTTAAAATTAGAGTGATCTGCATAAAATATAGGTTGTTAGACTTGTCTCTAACTTTATCATATTTTGCTTGTCATGGAATATTTACATATACGTTTCCATTTATTCTTACAATTATAATATTTTGCATTAATAATCCATAATTATAGATGATGTTTGATTTTTGATTTCTCTTTTAGGATGTATACGTTCAGTCGACTCATGATTTTGTGCAACACTACATTAAAGTTAGACATTAACACCATTGGATGTCGACTTGGTGGTATAGAAATTGGGTGTCAACGCTCGAGACCGAAGGTCGTGGATTCGAGTCCCGCGTGAGGTATCACGGATCGGAACTAGTGAAGAGTTTCGTACTGAGACGAAATGGCCATCCAGTACTTCTAAGCTTTCAATGGTGGCCTAGCTTACATCGACTCGTGAATTCAACTGTGAAAATATTGCGATCTTCACAAATCTCCATACTGATAATTATGTAATTAGTAAAACGCTTCTATCAAGTTAATTACTATAACTTTCTATATCAACATTACAGCATTCATACAGACTATCTTCAAACTAATCCTCTCAAAACATCCAGTCAAACACTAATCGAATGTTAGCCAGCAACTAACTACAAGAGAGATTTTCGGTAATTAGAATAACCCATAGTGTCATTGAATAAGAAAAAGAGGATTCAGCGAAGAAAATTTTCTTTTCGACGAAATCACTTACTTCAGCTGTACATTTGTATACATAGTTAACTTGGAAAATGTATGTCTATTGTCATTGTTTGCCTCCGCTTCTGAAGTAAATTGAATTGACTGGTGACAATTAATAAAACTATTCAAAATTTCATTAAGGTTCATGTCTTCATCACAAATAATGACAGTATCATCCATATATTTCTTACACAAATTAAATCTCTCAATTATTCGTCGAAGTACCGGGTTTTCTAGATTGACCATGAAACAATCAGCCAAGAGAGAATTCAATGGAGAGCCCATTGCAACTTCATCTGTTTGTCTATAGAAATCATACAAGTTTTCTTGATTATTATTCAGTTTATTATCATGATCTTTTTTTGTCGTTTTTCTTCATATCTGTCAATTGGACTATCAGCTGACCCATAAACTATTTTCTTCCCTACCCCTTGATTAGTACGTAACCTCATTTGTTATTTTGTCTAGAATCCATTTTACGATGCAATCTTTTCTATCCTCCTATAGAGATTTTTGAGGCTGAATTATTAGTGACTGATGAAGTTCAGCTACCTGAGTTATCGTACAACTACTCACCAATGGTATTTATTGATTGTCGTGCTTTATTGTAAGTCGATCGGAGTGGGAAATGTTAGTCTTTTCATGTCAGCTCAGTGGTCACAATATCTGAAGGTCATATGTTTAATCTTTGGAGGAGGGTCATGCTTGCTAAATATTGAGTGGTCCAGAACTTAGATGAAAAGGGTTTCAATAGTTCTGTCTGATATCAACCTTTAAGTAAAACTATCAGCTAATACTTTTATTCAGTTGATATCATCTCTGCGTAAAGATAGTTCGCTTCACGAACTAATATCACATCAATGTGAAACAAAAAGGTCTTGAAAAATGTAGAATGAAATCCAGAACAAAAAACTAGGGCATAATATCTATTCAGTACTCTATGATTTTTGATAGTTTCATAATTTCGTATTTCTACGTAATTCTACAGCTTTGAAGATGAATTCATCTGAACGAAATCCTTCCGTGAACTAATATTTTTATAATTAGCCAATCTTTAAAAAGATAAATAGATATTCTCTCTACATATATAAAAGAAAACTAATTAAATGCTCTTACTAAATATAGATTTAAACGACTGGTATTCAGTGAGGACATACTGTCATGAATTATACAAACATTTGATTCATCGAAATCTCGGTCCTTTAAAGCTGCTTTCGTTAGACTAATAGAATGATTATGTAAGTGGGATGGCTATATTTATTGTGATTTTGAATTAAGATTGAAAAAATTCACCTTTTTATGATCGTTCACACAGATATTCAGTAAAACTAAGCAAATATTAGTTCAATTGTTCAAGTTACAATTTTCATCGTATATTTACAGTTAGTTAACTGAAAAATAATGGAATCTACTTCAAAATACAAAAAAAAATGAGCATATATATGTTAAAGATTTCGATACAATATATAAGAGTTCAGAAATTTTATTAAACTGGAAGGTATTAACTATCTTTCACAGATAATCTATTACTATTTCATAAACCAAAAGGTTTGTTTAAAAAGTTACTTTGATTATAGATGGTAGATATCTCACAAAATGTTTAGTTTCATTTATTTCAGATAGGCTATGGAAACAATTTACATGAAACATTTTAAGTTTAAAGCAATTAATGTTTAACTCAGTATAAAGGGTTAAATGTTTTGCGTTAATCAATATCTCATTGATAACTCTTTGTTCCACTACATCTACTTTAATTTCGATAATGCAATGAGAAGACGAAGTTTATCAGAATTATGTGATATATTTTCGAAATAAATTTCGAACAATCTGATCACACATATATTTGTTAAGAGAGTTTATATTACATTACCATTCAGATGCAACACAAATAGTCTCATGTTGAAACGGAGGCCTAAATTAGCAACCAACAGGATATTTTATGCAGCCCAACTTGTCATTATAGAATAGACAAGGTCTATGTTTCACCAAAAACTCAAAAAGCACGAAAGCGATTGTATATATCAATTTACATGTATATGTGGAAACACGTACATAGGGAGGAGCAATCGTTCTCTGCAATTAAGGGTGACGGAACACATACACAAATGGCTACAGAAACAAATGGATTCCAATGGTCAAATAAGATAACAGGATAGACAAGCATCATCATTCATTGAGAAACATTTGATTGAGACTGGTCATAAGGTTGACATCAGCTCAACATTTGTAGTGTTATACAAAAGCCTTTAAGGATGTATACTAAGGTTTATTGAAGCCTTGGGTATGCGAAAATTGAAACCCACTTTATGTGTTGAAAACACTCTGTTCTTACTCTTTAACCTATCATGGTAATACTGATTTTTGTGTACTTTATTTGTCGTTGTTATGGCTTATCTTTAACCTGTCTAGTTGACCTTTAATTATCATATAAAAATGTCATAAGAAGTATATGTATGATCAGATTGTTCGAAACGTATTTTGCAAATATATCACATAATTCTGACAACCTTCATCTTCTCATTGTATTATCGAAATTTATCAAAGGGACTAAATGTTTTAAACATCTACTTTAGTTGTTTCATTTAGATCTAAATTCTTTGAACAACTTTGACGTCTATTCAGATGCTAATGAACAATGATAAAGTGAAAATTTATTTGTAGAACAAGTATATATATATTTTTTAATTGAGCTTAATATGATGAGAAGTAAAGTAACATGATAAAAGCTATTCTCATTAAACAGAAAACAATCCATAATAAAATTAGGTAAATTCAGTGATCTTTCTTAGTTGACATGTATAATTTATTTTAGATTCTTCTCATGATAGTACTCATTTTCTATAAGAACGTACTAAGTAAATGACTTAACAGATTTCACTAACATACAATATAAGTATTGCTAATGAAGTCGTTTTTATTTACACTTTTTTTAATTGACAGATAATTCCCATTTAAACATTAAAAACTAAAAACACGAAGTTCAGTCAAGGGATCTCTTTGGCCTTAATATTATTTTATCATTACTATTATTACTTCATTCCCCTTTACTTATGTCTTAAATTCTCATTATTTCATTCATTAATGTTCATGATATCACCATACTTATTTTTACACCTTTATGACCTTTAATGACCTTTAATTATTGTAACAAAAACATTTTAATAAACGGAATACACCCATTAAGACATTAAATAAGAAAGATTAGTTCAACGAAGAGTTCTCTTTTCGGCGAATTCATTTTCAAAGCTGTACAATCGCAAATATATATATACTTATGTTAACCGGATGATAATAATACTGATAATAAACTTCTATTAGACATGGTGACAGTAAGGTGAAATAAACAAA